CAATGTTGTCTTTTAACCATTCTTTTCTTTTCCTTCTTTCTTATTTTCTGAGAGGGTGTTTTAATTGGATGAAGAGTAGGACTTAACTAAGCAACTGGTAAGTGGTTGAGTTGGTGAATGCTGCTGAACAAAGAGAATGAGTACACGTAAAACAAAAACAAAACAGAGAAACCATTGGTATCCTTTCGAGAAATTTATGCCACATGTACTCCTCTAGACTCGAAGCATCTTCATACACAGATTTAAAATGAAATACAATTTAAAACATGAAAATTAAATGACAGAGTAGCCTGCCATAAACAGATTATTCCACAGACAAAAGGTCCTCTTTTTCTTTTTTACGTGTTTTTTATAGCGAGATTGTGAACTGTGCGAAAGAGTGTGAATGATCAACTGCTTGATCATTTTAAACAACTACAGCTTTTATTGTAAAATTTTGTAAAGCTTTCTCTTTCCTTTTATTATTCTCCTTACACCAGTGTTAAACTCAATACAATTTACTGTTCACAAATTAAATACACTAGTTATGTCATGGGCGGCTTTCCAGCCATGCCCCATGACCCCTTGGGCGCGCCCCGTGGCGTCCTAGCGAACCTCACAATGCCTAGCGCCACGGACGGCCCCGTGGTCTTGGCCGCGCCAAGTGACAAGCGCGCAGGTGCCTCTGTCGCCCCACCGATACCCCTCGCGAGCGCCAAGCCGCAGGCAGAAGCCAACAGCGCCGCGCGCGCAGACCGTGATGCCAAAGACACTGCTGCTGACAACGGACCTGCTGCTGCCTTATAGAAAACTAAGTCATTTTCATTGTAAATATAGAGTAGTTTATTTCATGCACTTCCATTATGTTTCTCTAGCTTAATTAGGTCTACTCCTGTAACTTTGGATTATTTTTTTTAAGTACTATTAGGGGGGATCAAGCAATCAAAACTTTCTAGCAAGCAAGCAAATCTCTGTACTGGTGTATCTCCCCCTCGACACCGTGTTGCTTTTCTGTAATAGCTTTCATTAATGCAATCAAGCTTTCTTTCATTCTGAATTCTCATTTCTGTTCTCTCAATTGCTCTTGATATTGGTTTTCCCGTACGGCACTGACAATCTCGTCTAGCGTACGGAGGGGACCTCAGTTGGCGGACAACAACTGCACTGACATCAGTTGCCTAGCCGTACGTCGTCCTTCCAAGGAATCTCAGGAAGGCGCCGCGTATACAATGTTGTGAAGCAGATTTCACGGCAACATCCTTACAACGTAGACTGTTAATCCTCTCTACCTCACTTTAAAGTAGGCTGACTCAGACACAGGTTCTTTTTAATCTTTTATCTACAAATCTCAACTTGAAGAATTCTGAGAATGCACTCTGTCCCTTTATTAGCCCCGTACTCCAGGTGTAGAGCCAATGTCTATGGGTGCTCAAACTTAACTGCAGTAATTTTCACTCCTAAACTATGCTGCTAGCACCCCCACCCAATCCCGCAAACACCCCCCCTCCACTACCCAACCAACCAAAACAGACGCTTCACCTTCTTACACTTGGAAGGATGGTTAAATGAAAATTTTGAATAGAAACGCTTCAAGCGATTACCAATTTTAGTTGCACAGTTATTTTCCCCTATTCTATTAATTCTCTTAGTGAATTATAATAATAAGTCATTGTAAATTTGAACAAAAGCTTTTCTCTCCCCGCATTTCTATTTCTTCTCTCCGTCCTCTAATCAACCTTAATAAAATTGTTCAGGAATTGTTCTTCCCCTCAACCCCTAAGAATTCTGCCCAATTGTGACTCCGGTGGAAGGTTTGTAACAGAAAAGCTCTTTAAACATTATTATCTTACTTTATGTTTTTTACATTAATTGAATATATTGAGAGCACGCATACACAGCGTGGTATGATGTTTAGTTTACTTACCCCAAGTATGTATGGGCAATGGCAAGAGGAAGCAGAATCAAAGTATAGGTAGAGTTACCAATGGCTGTAAGGTCGAAAAGAGAGAGTTTTCTGGCCAATTGCTGAGTTGCGAGTTTTTGCCTTGCTTGGGTTGCAGCATCCACTCGCTTTCTCCTAATCAAACTTCCTAACCCACCTGAACTCTTATCCATCATCTCATTCTCGACGAAGCTCAAACAAATGGGCATATATATATATATATATATATGCCTTTCCAAAGCAGTTCTTAGTTTGGGAAAAATTGGAAGGTTTGTTTGTGTCCGTTTGGTTGAAAAATTCGAGGTTCGCCGACTCCCAACTCCACTCTTCTAGGCCCACCCCTCATTGTTTCCGTAACGGGGCTAGCAAGTTCTCAAATTAGTAATTGAAAAATAGTCAATATTTGTCGTGGTTACAAAATAAAGGTTATATTTAAAGTTTGCATAAACTTTTATTATATTATGTTAAATTTTTTATCATATTATGGAATTTTAGTATATTATATTAAAATATTATATGTAAAAAATTTGAACTCAGCAAATTATATCGTTTTTATACATATTTTATTTATACACAAAAAAATAATTAAATTTTGATTACTTTTAAAACTATAACTATTTTTCGATTACCAATCGTAAGTCTGTTCATATCTGATTACTTTTTTTCCATTCTTTAGTGCTAGCAACTATCTTATCCTTTTCTTCCCGCCTGTAGTTTTGTTGAGTATCCTATTTGGCTTAGTTTTTGGCCAAAACATTTTTTTTCAAAGTTAAGGCGTTTGACCAAGTTTTTAAAAATAAAAAAAAAAGTAAATCTGAGAAGCAAAAATACTTTTTTTTAATTTTTTTTAAAAAAAAATATATTTAGAAACACTTTTTAAAAGATTTGTCTAACACTAATGTTGTGCAAAAGTGATTTAAAATTGATAAGTCAAATACAGGTTCACCAAAGTACTTTTCTAAAACATAAATGTTTGAGAAAAGTATTTTTTAAAATAAACTGATTTTAGAAGTTTGACCAAATCGACGATTACTATAAGTTATAACAGTAAATATTTAAAAACCCATATAAAAAAATCATGATCGAAGAATAACTTAATTGACTCTCATTCGAAAAGTATTATACTTTTTTGAGACGGAATGAGTACTTGATAAAGATTTTCCTTTTCGTCACTTGATAAGGATTATTCTTCCAAAAATTTACTTAATTTTCATTTTATAATTTTTTTCTATTTCATGGAATCAATAAATGGCAAAGCTGAGTTCAAAGTGAGAACTGAACCCACAAATTGTTTTATTATGGGTATGTTTGTCACGAAGGTTTTTTTTTTTTTTTTATGTTTGATTGGCTTAAATATTTTGAAAAATATTTTTCTGATGATCTTATTTTCGTCCAATTGGAATAAAATATTTCTTAGAAAATAATTTTCAATTTTTGCATGTTTAATTGACTTAAATATTTTGAAAAATATTTTTCTCATGACCCCATTTTCAACATGCTCACCCTATTCCCCATCCCCCACTATCCCATCCACCACTCAAAACAAGCCTTTGCCCCCACCCCACCCCCACACCCATACTCCAACCCCCACCCCCCTAACCATCCCCACCTTACCCTAACCCCACCCCCGACCCCTACCCCACCCTAAATAAAATATTATTTAGAGTACTTTCTTTTCATGTTTTACATAGAGTAATTTCTTTTTATTCAGCAAGATGAGTATCTATTTTTCACTTGGATTGTCACATCATTTAACATGTGGTGTCATCTCATTAGATTTGAATTTGATTGAATACATCATGTCACTTGATACATGGAATGAGTCTTGGCCTCAAGATGAAATAGATTGCGGGCTTGAAAATAATAAATGAACTTATTTAACTTGTAAGGTCCAAATTCTTTAACACACTTGACTCGCAAATAGTAATATCACCTAAGATAAAGAATCAAACTTCGGGGATTAGTCTAAAATATGTTCAATGGGGTATCTTTGGCCTTAACTCAATATTTAAGCAAAAATATAGGTTGAGGATGTCTTTTTTTTTTCTATATTTATCTTTAAGGATCATTCTTGTGCTATATAACAAAACTTGAACTTCAATATTATCATGTCTTTTTTGTTGTATATGTTGGTATTATTTATAATGCAAAGTCAAAAAAAAAATTCACCCTAACCCCCCACACTCCACCTACTACCCCATCCTAGATAAAAATATTATTTAGAGTACT